GACAGCGGCTTCACGTCACCCCGCAGCCCGGCCGGAGGGAATCGGCAGCCGGGCCTGAGGGAAGTGGGCTGCCGGCAGCCGGGGTGAGGCGGAGGTGCAGCGGAGACCGCCACAGGAGGGCTGAAAGGAGACCCCGCCGGGGCGCAGCATGCGGCTCTGCCTTCTCACGCCCGCACGGCCAGGCCGCAGCGCCCATCTTCGCGCACCTGCCGCCGACTCCCGGCGGGTTTCCTCGCCTCCAGCCGTGCGTGGCCGGAGTAACACGGGAAGCGGCCTCGCACCGCTCCGCGGAGACTCACCGTCGCGCTGCCGGCGGCGGGGCTCCGTGAACGGCTCCGCACCGCCTTCACTCACCTGGGGACGAGGCGGCAGTCCTCACCCGGCCGCGGTGCAGCCCGAGGCACCGGCAGCTCGCAAGCGGCAGTAGAGCAGTGCCCGCGCCTGGCAGCGTGGAGGCGATGGGGAGTGAGTCAGGAGGTATCGGCCCATCCGACAGCGCCGCGCCAGAGCCCTTGACCTGCAGCCACCTGCCCGTGGCCCTAACTCACTCCTCCCCGCCTGGCCCGGCAGTCACCTGCGGGGCAGGGCCCGCCCGCAGCCGCGGGGCCAAGGGCGGGTGAGGTGCGGCGCTGAGGCGACGGGCAGGGCAACTCAGGCCACCGCCTCGGGCAGATCTTAACCGTGGCCGAGTTCCTGTGGTACAGGGGGCTGAGGAGAGCAGCCCAGCAACTGTACAAGAGCGATTCCAGCTCTAGAATAAAGCAGGCTTGGGTTTTGTTTTTCCCTTCGCCTACCCTCAGTGGTTTAAGGTAGCAACTGGCCATCTGAGGGTTTTCTTTCTCGGGTTAAAGAGTTCTGTAGCTGGCGGGGTAACTGCAGCATGTAGGTAGTTGCAGTCAGTAGGTACATCTGCTGAGAGCAGACCTGACCATAATTAAAAATCAGTCAGGACTCTTACAGTGGTATCAGTGAAAGGCTGCAGCTGAAGTTGCTTGCATCTGTGAACAGCAGCACATTTGGGTATTCAAGTAGTGCATCTGAAGCGTAGCTTCCATGCAAGAGGCAAGCTTAGGAAGGCTGGAGGAACTGTCTGGAGGAGCTGACAAAAATAACATCAGCAGAGTGGTTTCCTACTTTGGTGTCCATCTAGTTCAATAAATTTCTCTCAAACTTCTGAGTTCTAGTTTCAGCATGATCATGGTTTTGTCTCTGAAGAGTCTCTCCAGTGTACCAGCGAGTCTGAAGACTGCAGTTTTGCATAGAAAATACAGGTATTGCCTGAAAAAAAAAAAGGAACACCACACTACATTGCTTTACAGTCCAAGGTAAAAGTGCTAGAATGAAACATGCTGTGGAGCTTGCTTGTTTCTTAGGGCAGTGGTGAGGAGAGCAGAAATGAAAATGGGAACATGGTGCACGCTCAATCTGAAAATGAGAAATCATTTCCACATTACTTCAGCAGCAGCCACTCTGGGTCAAAGAAACAGATCAATTATAGGTTTTATTGCTGTTAAGTAGCATTGTTTTACAAAATGCACGTGCTATTATGCCAACAGTCTTTTTATAACATACTTCCATGTGCAGGAGGAAAGACATACCCTTGTGTAAAGCAAACCTGAGAAGCACGTTGTTCACCTGCTAGGTTGCACTGCAGCTCTGACAACAAAGAAGTTTTCTGCTTCGTGTACTCTTATATAATTGCTTGGGTGTTGGCTGCATTCAAGATAAAAAAATTGTTTGTTCTTCTCCCACCTCGGGAAATAAAAGCATTGAAAACACAATGCAGTGAGAAGCACAAGCTGGGAAACCTAAAACTATGTTTGGACTTTTGCATCGGATGAAATAAATTATTAAACTGCTTCACGGACTTTAATAAAAATCAAATGTCTGGCAGCCTAGAGAAAAATTGAATTGCAATCTATTAGGGAGCCAGGTCAAAAAAAATTTATTGAATGGAAACATCATTACAGGCCATGTCTTATAATGTTTTAATTACAAGAAAGCCTTTTTTCCCCCTAACTTTATTAATAATAAATCTGATTCTTGTCAAGAAATAGGGATATATGATTTGACATGGTCAATTCAAGCCAAGTCCTGTGTAAATTTTATTCATCTTATCCAGCTATTTTTTTCTGTGCAGGAAGTGTAAAAAAAAAAACCAACAAAAAACACCAAAACAAGACAACTACCCAAAAACCTGTGAAATCTCTTTCTACGTGTTCAGATGCTAATACCACAAAGCTATGTATGACCTGTTCATCTTCGTCTCACATACTCCCTCTGCTGGAAATTAATATGAAGTTTCAGTGGATCAGAGGGAAAGATCATTAAGAATGCAAGATACATTAAAAAACCCTCTTGCTTCCTTTATTAAAAGATCACACATTTTAAGGACACACCAGTCTGTATCAGTAAAACAACTTACATTCCTCGCTGCAAGGCTATTCATCTGAAATCACCAAGATGTGGAAGGAGGAGCTAATGCAAATTATCTAGTTAAATATTCTCTATATACTAACTTTATATGCATTCTGTTGTATCATCTAAGATCTACTAATGTCAAAGTCAGATTAAATAAATGCACAAAAGCAAGCAAGCAAGAGAGCTACTAAAGTGCATCGATGCCGATAGCCATGAGGCATCCTCATGCGCCATAGCCTACACGGATACCAATAGGATTAGTTGTTCTCAGAAGAGAGGAGGGGAACAGAATAAAAACCTCAGCTGTAGTGCTACTAAAGAGTACCCCACACCACGAGTGCTTTTCCTGCGCGAAGACTGAACCCACTTAGCTTTACCACTGACAGCAGAATCTTAAGTCCGATGACATGTTGCTAAAGTTCAAGCTTTATTAGTGACTGAAAGGCAAAATAAAATATCTGATTTTCTTTGACTGGAAACAGTAAGATAAATCACATAGATACAAATGCTGCTGAAAGGTTGTTTGCATGGATTTTACAAAAAGCAGTGAAATACTTCAACCCAGCAATGCACAACAAATTCTTCCTCCTTGCTGGGACTGTACTGATGATGGAAATACTGTTCCGTACACAGACATAGCAGCTTCTGTTTCTTCCAGCGTGGAGAAGAGACCGAGGAGGGAGGACATCAGAGGCACTGAATTCTTTCTTCTAAAAAAACCTTTAAACTTGTTATGCTCAAGTAAAATACTTTCTACTGATTAATGGTGCCAATTTTCAATGCCATGGAGAAGCAAAGTCAGTTGGAAACAAGACCAAAAACAGTGGCTAGAAATTAGGAATATATTGCTGCAGAAGAGCATGAATACTTTTAAAAGTATGATAGGATTCTTTGTTATGCAAAATGGATAATTTTAGATCATCACAGAGTAGCCAAGAGAAAATTTAACATGCTCTTGATATGAAACCACAAGTTGCATTTTCAGGTTTGCCTATGTAAAAATATTGCGGTAAAAGACAATTTTAAAACATGTATAAAAGTCAAGTATTGCGTTGTTCACAGTTGCAAGTAAGTATCACAAATGTAAACAAATGATAAATAGATTTCTGGTGTATGTTTCTTTCTGACCAAAATACTATAAGAAAGCAACAAGAAAATCACCCTACCACAAGTAACCCAAATTATGAGGAAAGAGATACTATCACAGCACATTTGGTATATTTGGATATATTCAAATGTAGGAGGCTGCCACTACAGTAATATTGCTCTATGAATATGCTCACTTGAGTGACTGTTTTTCTTAACCATATGTATTTGCATAACAATTCACTGCTGTCAGAAGTCACTTGAAATCTACATGACACCACTACTGAAAAAAGTTCCTTTGGCCCCATCCATAACCTGATGATTGCTTTGCAATTTGCCTGCAGAAAAACAAAGTTCTTATTTCCATAACATTCTCTAGGGAAAGGTTAACCCTAGTAATAAAGGCTATTACTTTATTGGAGTACTCCACAAAAAGCAAGCTTATTACAACTTAGTATTTATAATCTCATTTGCCCTTAATCCTTTCTACTTAAGAGAAGAATTTTAAAGTACAAATTGTTGAAGAATCCTGCACTTTTACTTCATAGGGGAGCACTTTGTTACTGACTTCTTTATGATCTTATATGGAAAAGCCATCATTGTTGCAACTAAGGAATTACATCTTAGGACATGGGCCTCTGCACTCTATATCCACACCCAGAAAAAACTCAGTTTGATCTATTTTATGATTATCTAATTTCTTCTCATTTTCTAAATGACAGGTTATTAGTTTTACAAACTAAGATCACGCCTTAAGCTTTTTTGTGATCATCTTCTAAAAAAAAAAATCAATATGGCAATATGATTGTAAAACAACAAACCACTTTCTCATCTTCTGAATGATGAGATGATCATCTTCTCTCATCTGGTAAAAGTGTACAATATTCCTTATAATAACTGCATAATGTGGAAACATTTAATATCATCATGTCTGATCCTACAGTCTTTACTTGCAAGTAGGCCTATTAACACTGGTGATTGCCAGAATGACCTCTGTGGCTGTCTGCCAAATAAAGAATGAAGGATTCTAACCTACAAATTAAAATCAAGTCACCTGTGCTGAAAAAAATTGTTGCTCTTACAGAAGATAATTCTCACATTTATACTACAGGTATATATTTATATACATTATATTTTTTTACGTTATTAATCAAAATACTTTTACAGGCTTTTTAAAGCTACCTGCTCCCAAAAAGCAGCATAAATCATATTAACAGCTTTTAAAAGGCAGTTAGGGGCGTTCATCTAGGTTACGCTGTCTTCAATCATTACTCAAATATGTTAATGTTTAGCAGTCAGGTTATCACAAACCAAATTCATCTGAAGGAACATAGGTGCAAGATACATGTTTAAACCATTACTGTGACCAACATGCTTTTGCTTTTAAAAAATAAACTGGAGACCTTTTATAAAATTCTTTTATGAAGATAACAAGAAGGATGAATCTATTAAAAAACACTGAATAATTAGAGAATTGAATAAATAGAGAATTACTTCTCTATTTCCAAATACTGAAGCATAGATTTCCCAGATGAGTTATAGGAGAGAATTTTACATTTTCTTTCGCATTTAAAATGTGAGAACATGGGACATAGAACACAGATAAATGTTATGAAATAACAAAGGGTGGGAATTTCTGGGCAAGTTGAAGTGCCATTAACGATCACCAAACAGTACTCACTCATATTAAAGAACTCTAAGTAGAAACTTTGTGCAGTTTTAATAAAATCTTAGAAGTTGAACACACCTCCAGTACAAAAAAATACATGTCTTCATACATGGGTATTTAAACAGTGGTATCTGCTGGCATTGCTGTCTTATTTATCCAATTTAATAAGTCAGTCGTGTTTGAAGAGAGGAAAAAAATCCTCAAACTCTTCCTATCTTGAGATGACACAGCATTCTCTCAAGCATAATACTCACATAGTTCAGCACAAATACACCCAAAGCATAACACCTGAATATAGACACTTTATCCCCCAATAAAGTTTCATGTTGTTATTTTCTTTCCCCTTTTTTTCAGTTATATCAATAACCTTTTAAAATTATGCACTTTTAAAATAAAAGCACACTGTCAGTAAAGTCAATGGAACCTGTGGGGCTTTTTTCTTTCTGTTTCTAAGATGGGCCATCCCACACGGTAATTCAAGAGCTGGGAGAGTGGTGGGAGAGGAAGCTATCTGAGCTGTTTTCTTTTCGATGAACAACATTAAGAGTGATAAAAAACCTACGCAAGCATTTGTGAATGAGATTTAATGAAATTTAGCATTCAGCAGGGAAGAAAGATTAATTAAATGAGCATTCAACTTTAACTCTCCAGATGGTGTGCAGTCTTCATAAGCCGTTGCGAATATAACATTGTAAGTCCTTGAAACAAGAATTCCTAGAAAGGAAAAGAAATCTAATTTGTTTCATGTCCAGTGAATACAGAAATACGTTCTGATGTTTCCATGTGAAAAATTTTAAGGTTTTGATTCTGAAAGCAATTTGAGCAAGCTTCCCAGTCTCTTCAAAGTCAATCCAGATCATTTGAAAGAATAGATTTTATTGTACAAAAGCTCTATAATGCTATTTGAAGTGAAAGGCAAGCTTTGGATTCCTGTCACTTGAGGAAATCAGACAGAAAAGGTCTTTCCCACTAGGTCTGCAAGACAAACTACAAGGCACATCCTGTTAACTTTACTGAAACAGTGAGGCTGGTGCAATAAAGAAAAAGATAGAAGAATAAGAAAAAGTTACTGTCCAATTTACTTCTTATATCACATTCTCAATAAAATAAAAATGTGACTGTCCACCTTATCTCCCTTCACAGCATGTCTGCTAAAACTGCACCAAACACTGCAGAGGAGGAGGGGTATTAGTGGTGATTCCACCACTGCTCTCTCATTGTACTTCAGGTACTGCAGAGTCAGACATTAGCTGTGGAAGAAGCCTCACTACCAGTGAGTAGTTTTTTCTACAGTGTCTTTTTCAATCACTGGTAACTTGTCTTCAAGCAATTGAAAAATGGAATTATACTTCCTGGAGTTCTATTTCTAATAGTATTCTGGTTTAAATCCAACAGGAACTTGCACCTAGATCATATTTCATCAATTCCCCATATCTATTTAGAAAGTCTTAATTATGTGGTTCTGCTGATGTGATTACACACAAATATTTGCATTAATATTCCTGCTTTTACTCTCAGGCCATACTTTACCTTATTTTTTCTTTTTTTCTGGTCTCAGTGAATTTTCTGAATCTTTCCAGAGTTAGCAGGGAGGGAAATTATTTCATCATTCATAAACATTTTACACACTTCTGCTAGTCTGCCATTTTCTTAGAATCATAGAATCATAGAATAGTTAGGGTTGGAAAGGACCCTAAGATCATCTAGTTCCAACCCCCTGTCATGGGCAGGGACACCTTACGCTAAATCATATCACCCAAGGCCTTGTCCAACCTGGTCTTGGACACTGCCAGGGATGGAGCATTCACAACCTCCCTAGCCAACCCATTCCAGTGCCTCACCACCCTAACAGGAAAGAATTTCCTTCTTATATCCAATCTAAACTTCCCGTTTAAGTTTTAACCCGTTACCCCTTGTCCTGTCACTACAGTCCCTAATGAAGAGTTCCTCTTCAGCATCCCTATAGGCCCCCTTCAGATACTGGAAGGCTGCTGTGAGGTCTCCATGCAGCCTTCTCTTCTCCAGGCTGAACAGCCCCAACTTCCTCAGCCTGTCTTCATACAGGAGGTGCTCCAGTCCCCTAATGATCCTTGTGGCCCTTCTCTGGACTTGTTCCAACAGTTCCATGTCCTTTTTATGTTGAGGACACCAGAACTGCACACAATACTTCAGGTGAGGTCTCACAAGAGCAGAGTAGAGGGGCAGGATCACGTCCTTTGACCTGCTGGTCACGCTCCTTTTGATGCAGCCCAGGATACGGTTGGCTTTCTGGGCTGCAAGCGCATGCTGCCTGCTCATGTTAAGTTTCTCATCGACCAGCACCCCCAAGTCCTTCTCCTCAGGGCTGCTCTGAATCTCTTCTCTGCCCAACCTGTAGCTGTGCCTGGGATTGCTCTGACCCAGGTGTAGGACCTTGCACTTGGCATGGTCAAACTTCATAAGGTTGGCATCAGCCCACCTCACAAGCATGTCAAGGTCCCTCTGGATAGCATTCCTTCCCTCCAGCGTATCAGCCGAACCACACAGCTTGGTGTCATCGGCAAACTTGCTGAGGGCACACTCAATCCCACTGTCCATGTCAGCGATGAAGATGTTAAACAAGACCGGTCCCAACACCGATCCCTGAGGGACACCACTCGTTACTGGTCTCCAGGTGGACATTGAGCCATTGACCACAACTCTTTGTGTGTGGCCATCCAGCCAGTTCTTTATCCACCGAGTGGTCCATCCATCAAATTGATGTCTCTCCAATTTAGAGACAAGGATGTCATGTGGGACAGTGTTGAACACTTTACACAAGTCCAGGTAGATGACATCAACTGCTCTACCCCTGTCCATCAGTTCTGTAGCCCTATCATAGAAGGCCACCAAATTGGTCAGGCAGGATTTCCCCTTAGTGAAGCCATGCTGGCTGTCACCAAGCACCTTGTTGATTTTCATGTGCCTTAGCATGCCTTCCAGGAGAATCTGCTCCAAGATTTTGCCAGGCACAGAGGTGAGACTGACTGGTCTGTAATTCCCTGGGTCATCCATTTTCCCCTTCTTGAAAATGGGGTTAGATTTAGACCTCTGCTTTATCTGAGGAGAACCTTATCAAACACGTTATATTATTCATCACTGTATTACTACACCACACAAACCTGATTCTTTCCAGTTAAGCTTTTAAAACATAGCATAGACTGTCAAAGTTTCAGGTTTTATTACACAGTTGTTTGGGGTATTTTTACATTAAAACAATCCCAAACCATTTAGTATAAGTAACTCTGGAACAACCGTAGTCTTTCCCTCTGAGCCAAAAACGTATAACAAAGCTGAATGAGGAAAAAAGTAATGAATTATATTAGTACCTTCAGCATTCAAAAATGGAAAATAATTAGGCAGAAAAAAAATTGAGTTTATTTGCACTCAAAAGCTACATTGATTTGAGACAGATTTAGCTTAAACCAGCTAAAGATTTTAAGCAAACAAAGTATTTGTATCTGGCTCACATATTTCATTCCTTACTTAAAACTGTTCAATAGGAATGTGCAAAAGCAGATAATGTCACATAAGGTCAGCCATGAGGAAAACTGAAAAACAAAATCCCCAAGACACAATCCTATTGGAGGAATGAAGACTCCCTATAGTATCAAGGCCTGGCAATAGCTACAAAATCACTGTCTTGCACAGCTGTGTTCTCCTCCTAAGGGCACCAGAATCAGCTCACTGACTGAGGAAACTTGTCTCATATTCTTAGGATCTATGTACTTAGAGGAGCCTTTGATAATGAAGATGAACCAAGTGCCAAAGGTAATACTCTCAGTTTACAAAGTATTAACAAAATTCATATTGGAAGTACATAAAACCCTCTCAAAAGCACAATTTTTTTCCAGGAAGTCATAAATTGCGAATTTTTCCCCCTCAACTGGCATTTTTTTTAATGCAGGCTGCCATCAATCTACCAAAAATGTGTGATGCAACAAGCATGCAGCTACCAAATACGAAACTAAGCTTGACAGGGAGTACCTGCATACTGTGGAGGCTCCATTTCACTGATTCTTAAAAGGAAGGATGGGCTTGTGCCTCCTCAGGGTTACAAGTATTTGAAGACTTTTAGAATCCATTATGTTTCTTGTAAAACATGCATATATAGAGAGTAAAAACTATGTGGAAAACTACTAAAAGAAGAAAGGCTGGGTAGTTAAGAGCTTTTATGTAGGAAAGATGAAAATACTTCTACACCTGCACTGGCAAATTAAGTAGAGATTTCTGTAGCATTCTTTTATTACTGTTTGAAGAATTTATGACTACAGCATTGCAGTGTAAGTAGTTGCTATTTGATACAGCTAAATAAAATAAAAGGAGTATCATCAAAATACTGTGGTACTGAATCTTCTTATAATTTTACTTGAAGCAATGAAATTCAGTCATTATTTCAACAAGAAATAGCAGAGTTCACCCCTTTATTTTTTTTATTTATTTATTTTTCCCCTCTCAATGTTTGGAACTTAAATGTTGTTAAACCACTTACTCTTCCAGGGACCAGTCTGGAGACCAATCAGGCAATGGCTGATGGGAATGTTCGGGTGATGATGTTCTTAATGTAGAGCTTAACTGATACGAGATTGTACGATTCCGACGTTGAAGCTCCTTTACAACACGCTCCCTAAATAAACATTATTTTAAGGTGAGACTAAGCACTTTCCAAAAATCATTAAAATGATCTCACAGTCATTAACATGATTATTTTTACTATTTAAGATTTTCAGCTTTTTAATTTTATTTTAGAAGGAGTTGTGATGTTCATCATACACTTCTCTGGAAGACAGACTCTCTGTATTACTCCCTTAGACAGATTTTATTCTACATACTCATTGTCTCTGTTTTCCCTAAAAGAGAGAAGCTAGCCATGGTTGCTGCAGGTTAAACTCTTAAAAACTGTAAAAATCTCCAGGGAGGAAAAGCCTGATTTTAACATTATTCACTAGTCTGCAAAATGAGGACAATCACTAAAATCGGCAATGATATTAACAGTGTTGATTGCAGTATTCCTGTGCAGTTTGAGTTGGCAAGGCCAGTAGATTGGTTTCTACCTGAAGTGCTGTGAAACTGGTGGATATTTAAGAGACGCTGGACTGCCCAGTAGGAAAGTTGCAAAATGGTAGTCCAGTCATTTTGACTGCAAGGAGTGGGGCTTGGGTATTATATCAATCCATAACTCCTGCATCTGGGTATACAAGGAGGAAGTATGTGGGATCTGATACTACTTTGGAAAACTGACTGATAGTCACTGTGCTTGGTCACCACAATCAGAACAGGGCAATAAATCAAATCTGCTGTCCCCATGTGAGCCTAAACTGCTTCTGCAGTCAGGAGGATGGGAGGAATGGGGAGGTGCTTTTCCTAACTGGTAAAGAAAAACTCAGACAGATGGATTAAACCTCCTGGTACCACTGTGCTGGTGTTCATTCAAGGCCTGACAGTGCTGGCACTTCCACCTCCTAATCTGAAGTATTACTTCATTCTGCACCAAGGCAGTAAATTAACACAGCTAGCTAAATCAGTGTTAGAACAAGGATATCATCTACCCACTTCTTTAACAATAACAAAAAAAAAAGTCAGTACTCACATCTGCTGCTCCCATTACATACTATCATGATACTGACTTTAATGATAGGTTTTTATCCTCTCTGGCTAATTTTCTGGTTTTCACTTGCCAGTACCAGAAAAATAGATTGGCTGTAAGAAGTCACCTTGATGCTTTAATACCTTTCCTTGTGAGCATGAGAGATAGATACCTGCTCTTGTAAAGCATGACTTTCCAAGGAAAAACAGAAAAGAAATAGAAACCTTGTAACCTTTGCAGGATATTGAAGGGACACTGTTTTGATTTTATGAAAAAGACACACAAAAAAAAAAAAAAAGAAAAAGCTCTAGCCTTTCAAAGACAGCTCAATCTAATGTCAGATTTTTATACAAGAACTTTTCAGTCTTTGCTATCTAAGATTTCTGCATACTGTTTTTACAATTGACTTACAGACTGCACAATGGAGCCTAGATTTGTTCCTTCCAAAACAATTCAGGTAATTGTCCTATGTCTGGGTCAGGGCAATCCCAGGCACAGCTACAGGTTGGGCAGAAAAGAGGTTCAGAGCAGCCCTGAGGAGAAGGACTTAGGGGTGTTGGTCAATGAGAAAATGAACATGAGCTGGCTTCACTGTGCTCTCGCAGCCCAGAAAGCCAACCGTATCCTGGGCTGCATCAAAAGAGTGTGACCAGCAGGTCAAAGGACGTGATCCTGCCCCTCTACTCTGCTCTCCTGAGACCTCACCTGAGGTACTGTGTGCAGTTCTGGTGTCCTCAACATAAAAAGGACATGGAACTGTTGGAACAAGTCCAGAGAAGGGCCATGAGGATGATCAGGGGACTGGAGCACCTCCCGTATGAAGACAGGCTGAGGAAGTTGGGGCTGTTCAGCCTGGAGAAGAGAAGGTTGTGTGGAGACCTCATAGCAGCCTTCCAGTATCTGAAGAGGGCCTATAAGGATGGTGAGGATGGACTCTTCATTAGAGACTGTAGTGACAGGACAAAGGGTAATGGGTTAAAACTTAAACAGGGGAAGTTTATACTGGATATAAGGAAGAAGTTCTTTATTCTGAGGGTGGTGAGGCACTGGAATGGGTTGCCCAGGGAAGTTGTGAATGCTCCATCCCTGGCGGTGTTCAAGGTCAGGTTGGACAGAGCCTTGGGTGACATGGTTTAGTGTAAGCTGTCCCTGCCCATGGCAGGTGGGTTGGAACTAGATCATCTTAAGGTCCTTTCCGACCCTAACTATTCTATGATTCTATTCTATGATTCTAATTACGTTTGTAATTCTCTTGAAGTAGAAGAGAAATTCTCTTTAAGAATGAAAACTGGCAATCTTTGCCTCAGCACAGGCTCACTCTAATGTTTGGTTTATAACCAACTGTAAACTAAGTGTTGATATTATTGCAACTATAAGTAACCATTCAAGTAGCAAATTATCCTTAACAAGGAGAAGAAATTAAGTATAGAAGCTGATTCAGCTTTCTGCCAATAAACACTTTAAGAAGAAACACTTGCAGTCCCTACCAAGGAGGACCCATATGCCATGAGATGGATGCACTCATACAGGGGTAGTAGAGAAATAACAGTCTGAAGATACAGTTTCTTTTAAAACAAAGGCACTCCTGTATTTGTTTACAGTCTAGCTCACTCTGTGAGCTGAGCAAACACAAATGATAACAGCTTTTAAAATTATTTGTGCATCTAATCCAAAAGTTCTGCAGTTTTTGCCATGACTTCAGGGTAAAGCAGAATCTAATTTGAAACTGAAACATACACTGAGACACTTAAGAAATCCATCTTTAAAAGATCTAACCTCAGGTATGGAGATGTCCCCTTCAAAACCTTCATCCCAACTTATGAAAGAACGGAGTAATTGTAGTTTACTACAGTTAAACAAGACACCTGATTCTCAGACCTGTATAACAATCACATCAAACTGCTTCTTTTAGCCATCTCATTTATATACTCAAAATATATTTTATACTCAATATACCCATGAAATAGAGAAGTACTACTGTTTCACAGATAAGAAAACTACTTAAGACATGAGGAATACATAGATAAACTCACTCAGGAAGCAGGCCAGCGACTATTCTCTGGCACTGTAGCCAAATCAAATGAAACAGCTTGTACACATGGAACTGCTGGAACAAGTCCAGAGAAGGGCCACAAGGATGATCCGGGGGCTGGAGCACCTCCCATATGAAGACAGGCTGAGAAAGTTGGGGCTGTTCAGCCTGGAGAAGAGAAGGCTGTGTGGAGACCTCATAGCAGCCTTGCAGTATCTGAAGGGGGCTATAGGGATGCTGGGGAGGGACTCTTCATTAGGGACTGTAGTGATAGGACAAGTGGTAACGCGTTAAAACTTAAACAGGGAAAGTTTAGATTGGATATAAGGAGGAAATTCTTTCCTGTTAAGGTGGTGAGGCACTGGAATGGGTTGGCTAGGGAGGTTGCGAATGCTCCATCCCTGGCAGTGTCCAAGACCAGGTTTGGACGAGGCCTTGGGTGATATGATTTAGCGTAAGGTGTCCCTGCCCATGGCAGGGGAGTTGGAACTAGATGATCTTAGGGTCCTTTCCAACCCTAACTATTCTATGATTCTATGATATCCTCTTCCCATAAAAAAACACCCCACAAAACAACAAACCAACCAACCAAAACCCACAAAAAACCAACCAACCAACAAACCAAAAACAAAAATAACCCCCAAACAACCCCACAACAGGAGCAAGAAAACCCAAACCAACCAGCCCACATTACTTTGGCCATACTGCCATTTGGGAACCATCCCAAACGCTTTCTGTGCTTCAAGTAGTATGTGGTAGAATGCTGGCTTCTACTGGCCCAAATCATTACAGTGTACTAACAATTAAACTGTATGGACAAGTGTACATTGTCAAGTCAATGCTCTGACCTGGATTAGTTTACAAGTGTAGCCGAAGGTTGCCATTCATATTGTCAAACTAGTAGACAATAAATCACATTTATAGCCAACTAGTCACCTAGACTTCCACTACAGATCAACAGGCATCAGTATCAGTGAGTGAAGACAGATGAGCATATTCAGGAAAGCAATCCATCCCATGGTAAATCCGTCAGTTCCAGAGGGCAGTTTATTTCAGTGTCTCATTCTGTTGGCTAGAAAAAGAACCTAGACAGCTAATTTAGACAGCTGAACAGAGTAAACTTAGCGACATGAATAGCCTCTGAACACACAGAAGATGTACGGCAAAGCAAAGCCGAACTTTGCTGTTTATCCTACTAATTAGTCTTAGTACTGTATTGCTTTTCACCCAATTAGCTGCAGGAAACACAATACAAAAACATACACTTGCCTTTCAGTGCGTTCAGTCCCCAGCTGTCTTTTGGTCATATCCAGTTCCAACTCTAGCTGAGCTGCTCTATTTCTGAGCTGAGTAAAATCTTGACTCTGCACAGCACTGTAAAGCCCATACATTTTAATTAGATAGTAACCATAATCCTCCAGGTATGTTAAGAAATATGATTATCCAAAATTAAAAGGGCAACTGTACCATCCAAATGAGATCAAGAACATTTTTTGAGTGAAATATAACACTACACAGAAAAGTCTGTTAGGGTATAGCTGAGGAATCAGAAGGTTTTTGGTATTTTCTGCTTTTAAGGTAACCAACATACACTGGCCATTTGAAAATGCAGTTAGATATAAACCCGTATCTGTTTGCCTATACAATTGGGAAGAATGAAAAAAGAACTCTGCAATATTCTCCTGGTCATTAACTCACAGTGTATCTTCTGCTGCAGAAAGCTGTTCCTTGAGCAACTGAATTGTAGAGTCTTTTTCTTGCTTTGCTATCTGTGACTGAAGCTCTTTCTCACGACTGGACACAAGCAAAGATTCCAGGTTTTTCATAGCTGCTCTTTCATTTCCCAGTTGTTTTCTCAGCAGCTCTATTTCAGAATAGGATGACTCACACTTGCTCTGCAGCTAAACAAAGGTTTAAAGTTTTAGATGTGTTAGTTAAGATCACTGGATATTAGAAAAACCTTTTAAAAAAAAAAAAAGAAAAGAGGAAGTCTGGTGGAATCAGTGACCAAAATTTGCCCTCACTCTAAGATGGATAATTAGTGTTATATTTGCCCTTAGTCAAAATCCTGTGTCAGATTTATAAATTCACATAATGCATATATCTGAATATAAATGCATTTGATACTAATGACAAAATGGTATGAAATATATGGATCAATGGATTCTGTAGACAGTCATTAAAGAAGTTTTACATTTTGCTGAGGCAAAGTGCAGGAAATGACACCTGGTATAACAAACCAATATCTGCATTTTGTGTGTGAACCATTTGTGTGTTCAAAGAAAGAAGATATGAGAGAACTCAGGTCATAGGCCAAGGGGAGCGGAGAGAATATTTTTCAATTTCCAAAGCAAAACTCAAAGTTTTTGTGTACTGAACTAAAAGGCTTCTTCAGTCTGAAAGATTCAACTTTCTGTCAATCAAAAATCTAGTTCTTTTGCCGATAAACAGTTTTGATATTCTGCTTTTGTATTTTAGAACAAAAGAATACTGAAAACTGTAGACAGCATAAGTTATAGGAAAATAAACAGTATTAGAAACACTGAAAGAACAATATTATTCAGCATCAGGATTAGTTTCCATTTTTTAATATATATATATATATGCTGCAATCTAATACTGCAGACTTCTGCATTGGAATACTCTGTAAAATAAAAGCCCTATCTGAAGGTTATACATAGCTGATAAAACTCTGCTGATTGAAAGGTATGAAAAAATTAGCAGCTTTACCTATGGTGTTTGAAAAAGGCATAAAGGTTAAAAAAGAATGCTAGAAGTCTGTAAAGAACAAGGAACTCAGCTGGAACAGAGGATGGATGGGACACTGATAGAATCATACTGGAAATATCTAAGTAATCTGAGTATGTATGAACAATTTTTCAGAGTCTATCCAAGCTGAGTTTTTAAAAATTGCCTATCAGACACTAATTTTGTAGGTTTTGTAAGAAACAAGCTGAACCAAAATTGATTTTCAGGGAAAATTAAGGAAATTTATTAAAGAGATACTGATACTTCCTGAAATAGTCAAGTATTTTAAAGTTCATGTCAAATTTGTTTGCTAATGAACTACTTCAGCTATTCTGCTTGCTTAGCGACTAAATGTAAAATCCGAGATATCTTTCAAGATGATCTAGATGATATTTGAGGTCCCTTCCAACCCAAACCATTCTATGATTCTATGAAATCTCTATTCGAGGCTCACTGTACAAACTAAGACCATGTACCAGTTTTATTATATTTTTTTAAATATCAATCTGCCACACAATCTTCCTGTGTTGTTTTGCTACTGTTATGTTGTTATTCACTTTCTGAACAGCAGCAGTTTAGTCCCATTTGAGTATCCAATGTGCATGGCTAGCCCTCCTAGCCTACATGATATTTAGGAAGCAGAGATGAGCTGCAACAAAAACTGTAACAACTGAAAACCAGATGATAGCTTGTATGTTTTTAATGTATTTCTAAAACCATGCTGTACATTTCTCTCCGAGTCCTGCAGATTTTCAGGTGGGAAGAGGCTCTATGGGACATCTAAAGCAGTGAAAAGAAGGTTGAAAATGTAGAAGCAAGAAAAGCAGCGACAGAAATGTAAAGGTGGTAAAGCACTAGGTATGTTTCAGGTATGCTGTGGAGTTGTGTGCAACATTATACCTTCTGTCATTCCACACATGAGAGAATTTTATAATTTATAATGAATATTTATTTCCTTGAAATATACAACTATTTTTTAAGATTTTTTTCCAAGTGTGACTAGTGGAGTTCTAGTCATTAAATAAACTCAAACACTACAGCTTATTGTTGCAAATATCTCTAAATATGAGAAGTGGCATTATTAAACAGTTGCAGGCTTAAAATACTACCAGATCAATTCACTATGATCTATGAACTATGGAAAGAACAATTTCAACTTACTTGCTCCATCACTCTTTCAAGGGAATCCACTTTCTCTTTCAACCTGCAGTTCTCAGACTCTGCACTGATCAGTACCAGTCTAACAGAGCTACAATCTGCTTCTGCTTGATGGCATTTTGCTTCCCAACTTTGTCCTTGTTCACGGGCTTTGTGGTAATTCTCCAAAAGCTCACAGTTCTCTCTCTCCTATTACATAAAGCTTGTTTGTTTAATAATTTACAGTAAGCTTCACAAAATAGGGATATGTATAGATCTACAGGTATGACATGATACTGTATGTTCTCTTTCCACTGAAAACTTTGCCATTTAGCCGAAACATTAAGAGACTTCTCAGGAACCAGTGTTTTGTTCAAGATGGCCACATTTTAATGCTCAAAAGACATCTGTTAAAAATTACTAGATTAACATTACAAATATGATGTATACAAATATATTGCAGAAATATCTTTTTAAATTAATCCCATTTGGTAATAAAGACAAAAAGAGTTCCAAGTCTCTGCATTATTCACTACCTGCATTTTTAACTTTAATAAACACACACATGCATATATATGTGTGTGTGTATGTATATAAAACCATGATTAAATATACTGCATTACTTGCATGCTGCAAAAACAGCTAAGAAAATGTATTTAATAAATCCATATTAGTAGAATGCAAATAAGTTTTGGCTAGGAAGCAAATTCTTCCAAGGAGTTATTGTTAAATTTTTATTTTTAGTTAAAACAACAGCTTTTATTAAGAGGTTTAATCCATATACTCACTTTAGACTTCAGTACATCCTTCAGCCTGACAATATCTGTGTTTAAATCCCGCGCTTTCAACTTCATATCATCAAGCTCATTTTGGTACTTTGCTAGTTTTTTATACAGTACCTATGAAGAAAGATTTGTTTCATAATGTATAATGTTTGTACCTTTAAAAAAAGAAAAGCATTAGTGCATATCTAATGCCTATGGCTTCATTAACTCATTATTTAAAGGCTACATAAAAACTAAACCATGTGTATTTCTATAAACAAAATTTCCATTTGTCAAAAATATTTTGTTTCTTTGATTTACAAATAATGCTAAATCTTTTTAAGAAGAAGAAAAATGCCAATAAATGAATGTAGCAGTCAAAAAGGAAAATACAGATGGTTTATGTAGGAGCTAGATGGTCGTAACAAAAGAGCTTGTCCCATTTAAGGAGCAGGGCTCATACTCAGCTCCCTCTCTTCTACATGTTACTTTTTCTCAAAAGCCCACATCTGAAAAAGCAGAAGACAGCTAAAAAAAAAATGAATTACCTAATTAAGTGGTTATCTCCTAATTGGGAGAAATAAAGGCACAAGTATGAGGAGAAGGGACAGAATTTCTCACAACTATTGCTTGAGAATGAGAACAGAAAGAGGAAAAAACTGCAGAAAGGCTGTCATGAACTGCTCTGTTCAGAAACTTTTTCTTCCTTACAAAATTACTAGAACACTCAACTGCATGAACTGGGAGAAGGTGTGGAGGGGTTGTGTGTGGAAAAGGCTATGGAGAAACCCCTATTCCTGCTGCAAAAAAAAAGCTGTCAGTTTTTGAGAAAGGTACTCTGGAAGTCTCTGAACTTTTCCAGTAAGCCCAAGTGAAGAAACAAGAATGCTGCTTTAAATACTTCAAGTGTCACCTAAATTAATGGAAGCACCTTGAGGAACAAATACATATTATAGAGACAAGCCTATTAAAAAGTAATTGATCCTGTGAGGCTAAGACTTTTTCGTTTCTAACTGCTTCTAAAAGCATCCAGGCATTACAAAGAAAACCACAAAGCTTTCAAAACTAGGTAAAAGCAACAGGAGGCTGTGTTTTGTAGCAGCCAACCTCATCAGTATCAACTGTGATTCTGACAGAAAGTAAAGAATAGTGATTCCCTGGAGTACCTTTGGTGGCGAAGGCTACTATGAACCTTGACTTTTCTAGGATACTCAAAGAGGTGCCAAAGAGAAATTACTAGTATGTTTGAGAGAATAGTTATTTAGAATGAGAGTTGTCTTACCTAATATTTGCAGTGCAGAATTAGGCACCTGATCTGTGTTAGCTATGCTTCCTCTCTAATGAAGGGAGACAGGTAAAATGAATCACTTTAAAAACTGATGGGATGGGGCGAATCTCCTTCTGGAGGACTTTCCTTCACTTAAAGGGGAGCCTTAATAACTTAAAATTTTTATATACCTAACATCAGGTGAAATTAATTTGCTCCTTCAAAACTGGTTGGTGCTTCTAAAAGAACAGAAAGCCAGAGGAGGATAAAGTATCTTCCCAGACATCCTAAGCAGTAGAATAAGTGCAGAGAAGAAAGACCGAGTATCAGAAAGCCTAAATAAAGGCAAGAAGTTGAAGAAAAAAAAGAAAAAAAAGAACATTACATAGTGATGAACTTTCTACAAGTATTTGAGCTTAAACTCTAGCTGATTGGAAAACACACTGATGCATAAGCATTGTGTGTGCATGAGGTGGCACTTCAGTTTAAGTATTTTAACTACTTTCATTAGGAACTGCACTCAGATAAGTACCACAGTAGATAATGTAATACAACCAAATATTTCCAGCATCTTTTATACAAAAGCCACTTTAAAGGAACTTAAATACAATATTGTTGCCAAAGTTTTGAATCTTACTAGAATGTATACTGTGTTCAATTATTAGCAAGTCAAATTCAAAAGCTTTTAAATACTCTAGGCCACTGACAGTGCAGTATGAGAAATACTCTCTGCCTTCTTTATAGTACTTTTCCTTCTAAGCAATAGTCATAATTGCCACATTGGTTTTACCTGAAGATCAAAAAAAAGCATTAATTAGCTGTTCCTCAGATAAACATCCAAACCATCCCATAAGAATAGCTGGTCCTCATTATACAAGTGAGCCGATCAATAAGGGGGAAATCAGAGTTTGATAAATGAGCTTAAAAACTAGTTTGCAGATTTACTTCTGATGAGGGGCCAGCAATTCTATGCAATACTTTAAAAATGCACCATTTTCCTTTTTAGTCAAGGGTTCTCTGTACAAATATACCTGATTTTCTTGCTTAATGCTAGAAAGATGCTCTTGTAACCTGTCATTCTCCTGAGCTAATGAGTCTCTGTTCTTGTTAGCCTGCACAAGTTCTTTGGTGGTTTCTTGTAGCTGTTGATCCAAAGTCGTAATATCTTTCTCACAGATACAAAGTGCTTCAGAAGATTTTCTATACAGCAAATAAAAAAATCCTTCAGGTATGACAATACTGCCCAACCTAATACAAATGATAGCTCTTCCATTGGTTAAGTTTGCAAATCATGAAACAAAGCTGTAACACTTTAATTTTTAATAAGTAAAAAATATTTATACATTAGCACATCCTATGATTCAGTTTTTGAGTTATTAAGTTATTCAAAATTTGATAATGGTCTTACAGTTCATCCTTACTTTATGGAACGCTCCAACTCAGAAATCAGAATCTTGAAATCTGCAATTATTTTCTCCTTGAAAAGAAATACAAAATTAAAATAAAACGTTTCCCACTCCTCAGTATAAAATGGAAAAGAATATAAAATAATATTATTTCTATTTCCTTTCATTCAGCTAGCTGATTAATTTAACTAGTGCAAAATGGACTGTGGTTTTCTAAGTTTCATCATGTATTGTTTAGAGCTGAAAATTCCAATCATCTAGTGTGGCAAATAAAGGAACAAATATTATCTTCTGCAGAGTATAATGGTCTTAATTAATTTTTTTAATCCTTTGTGATTGTAAAGGTAGCATTTGTCTCACACTCCCAAAACTAAATAATGCCTTCTGCCTATTAGATGTGTTATCACAACTTTTCTACAATGAATAAACTACCAAACTCTGGTAGTTTGCAAATGATAAAACAAGAATTCCATCACAAAGTTTATTACTTACTCCCTTCCCTTTGGATACAAATATTAAAAGAAACATAGACAGGCTAAGGAAATGTCTTCCACTGAAGACACAGGGGAGGTGAGACAGCCATCTCTTCTCTAAAATGGACACCATTTCACAATTTACAGCTCTAAAAATACAAAGTCAGTGCTTATGGAAATATGATTTTAGCCTGTCCTGCTATATCTTTTCTGACTTTATCAGTGCCAATTCTTGAGTTAACAATTGAAACAGTTAATAATTACCTTCTTTATTTTATCCTAAATCAATATCCAGGTGACTTTAGCTGAAGTGAAAAATAATGTTTCAGAACTAAGAACTTACCAGCTTCATTACATAGTTTGAAATCACACTGTGCAATATACCTTAAGGTGAAGGGAATGTAATTTAGGTGCTTCTTCAGTGACAACAAAGGCAATATTATCTAGCACCCCGCATATTTAACATCAGTGGACCCCAAAGATGAATTTAGGCTAAATTTTATGATAAAATATTTATTGGCTAATTTACTCTTCTCCACTTCAGAAAAAAGTAATTGAAGTCTCTTCTCTTGATAAGCATAAACCATACAAAACACCAAATATGAGATGACCAACACTGCTCAAACCTACTGCTGTTGAAGTCAATGTAAGTTTTATTGTTGTCTTGAAACTGGAGCAGAACTAGGTCAGCACTGAGCACTGTTGTAGATGACAATATAAGTGTGATGACTCAACAGATCCTTTACCCATTTACTTTTTGTGACTGTTTACATGTTAGAACATACTTTAGTTGCCAGGCTTTCCTCAAAAGTAGCAATCTTTTTTCTTCCTTCTTCCACACAGCCTTGCAAAGATGCCTTCTCTTTAGTGAGTTGCGCAACTGTTCCTTTCAAAGCACAGATCTCTTCTTGTTGTACAAGACTTTGTCTTGAAAAGTTATCTGGAAACAATCAGAAAGATCTCGTTTGTATTAATTCAACCCATTTGAAATAAAAATTCTTTTGGTACACTTCTAAAGTATAAAAGACCATGGCAATATCTCCCCTTCAAGAAAACACTGAAGCATGTACCTTTTAAAAATACACAAGTAATCCAACTGATATTAAATTACTTGGCTCAAAAAAAAAAAAATCATCTATCTAACCAGCAAATTTTTAGGTCATTAAAAGTAACTTTCTTGGATATTATAATAATAAAGGCTTAAGCAGAATTACTATAAGACAGAAGCAATATGCAGACTACAGCATACAGACTGATGAAGTGAGATTGATATCCTGATATTAGCTAGTTTTTTCTTAAATAATATTTTTATTCATACAAACTTCATGTAAAAGTGAGAGTAATGCAATTATAAGTTTTAACACCACTTAAAATTGGAAAGATAATAATGAAAAAAGCAATCTACTCATTACAAAATCAATTCCAAAAGATGTCTCTCCCTGTCTTCATTCAGCTAATAAGGTGTTACACACTACATTTACCTTTAAATGGTTAGAGAATCAATCCTTATTTGATCTACATGCATTGCATTCACAGAGGAGAACTACTGAAACCCTTCTTACCGTGAACCTTACATCTCATAAAAATCATGCAGGCTGCAAATTACTTTTTAAATATCAGTGTAATCAGGCTCATTGAATGATACTTGTTAACCACTTCCAGGAGATAAAACATCAGAAGTAAAATGATCTGTAGCTCAGCCTTTCAGGTACATCATAGCATATATTCACATTCTATTTTTTCCACAGAAGCTTTTCGTGTTTCAAAACACAAGATGAAATGCACTCAAATTTCCACCTTGTATTTTTGGATGTATGGCTCTGGAACCTGCTAAGAAGACAGTGTTCAAACCTAGCTCTAAAGAAAATTCTGATAGAGCAGCTAATCCTGGAAACCACTTCCAGGCACATTAAAGACAAGAAAATCATCAGTAGTAGTCAGCATGGCTTCACCCAGCAGAAGAGATCAATTGACAAATTTCTGTGATGAAATGACTGGCCTAGCAGATGGAGGGCAGTGGATGTTGTCTACCTTGAGTTCAGTAGGACTTCTGACACTCCCATAAGATACTCAGAGATGAGCTGTTGACATATGGGCTGTATGAGGAGACAGTGAGGTGGATTCAAAACTATCTGAACAGCCAGGCCCAGAGGTTGGTTATCAGTGGCACAAAGCCTAGTTGGCAGGTGGTCACTAGTGGTATGCCCCAGGTGTTAATGCTGGGTCCAGTCCTGTTTTACATCTTCATTGATGATCTCGATGATGGGACAGAGAGTACCATCAGGAATTTTGCTGATGACAGAAAATTGTGATGAGTGGCTGATACACTGAAGGGTCATACTGCCATCCAGAGGGACCTTGACATGCTGGAGAAACAGGCTGACAGGAGTATCAAAGTTCAAAAAGGGAAGTGCAAAATCCTGCACCTGGGGAGGAAACAACCCCAGGCACCACTACACACTGGGGGCCACCCAGCTGGACAGCAGCTTGGCAGGAAACCTGGGAGTCCTGGTGGACACCAAATTGAACATGAGCCACCAATGTGCCCTGGGTGCAAATAAGATGAATAGTATCCTGTGCTCCATTAGGGAAAGTATTACCAGTTGGTCAAGGTAGTATCTGTACTCAGCTTGGTGAGATACATCTGGAGTGATGGTTCCAGCTCTGGTCTCCCCAGCACAACATGGACATACTGGAGAGAGTCCAGCAAAGGACCATAAAGATGAACGAGGGACTGGAGCATCTTGCTTATGAGGAAAACCTGAGACAGCTGGAAGTGGTTAGCCTGGAGAAGGCTTAGGAGGGAGGTCTTATACATAAATATCTGACAGGAGAGTGCAAACAGAGCAGAGGTAGGCTCTTTTCAGCTCAGTGACTCATTGCATAAGCAATGGGCACAAACCAGAACACAGGAGGTTCCCTCTGAATATTAGGAAACACTTTATTTTTATCTCTGAGGTTGACCAAGCACTGGAACAGGTTGCCCAGGGAGGTTATGGAGTCTCCTTCCTTGGAGATATTCAAAAGTCATCTGGACAGGAGCAACTGGCTGTAGGTGGCCGGGCTTGTAAAGGGAGGTTAGACAAGGTGACCTTCAGAAGTGCCTTCCCAACCTCAACTATTCTGTGATTCTAAGCAAGGGTGTTGTCATGGTTTAAGCCCAGCCACCAACCCAGAACCACACAGCTGCTCGCTCATTACCCCTTTCCTTCCCCCGCTCCTGGAGGGATAGGGAGGAGAATCAAAAAAATGTAACTCCCATGGGTTGAGATAAGAACAGTCCACTAACTAAGGTATAACACAAATCACTGCTGCTACCACCAACAGTAATAATGATAAGGGAAATAACAAGGGAAGAGAATACAACTGCCCACCACCCGCCAACCGATACCCAGCCCGACGTGAGCAGTGATCTAGCCCTTCCGGGTAACTGCCCCAGTTTATATACTGGGACGAGGTGGCTGAGTGGTGAAGGCGATGGACTGCTAATCCATTGTGCTCTGCCTGTATGGGTTCGTATCCCATCCTCATCGCCAAACAAGCTCAAAGTCCAGTTGTAGGAGAACGTAGGGTAGTCAAGCTTCCAAAACTACAGACACATCCAAGTGAGGTGCTGCATGTGGCAGTCTGCCATTCTTTACTGGACATGATGTGCTGTGGTATGGAATATCTCTTTGGCTAGTTTGGGTCAGGTGTCCCATCTCTGCTTCCTCCCGGCTTGCCCTCCTCCCTGGTAGAGCATGAGACTCAGAAAGTCCTTGGTCAGAGTAAACATTACTGAGCAACAACTAAGAACATCGGTGTTATCAGCATTGTTTTCAGGCTGAGAGTCAAAACCACATCACAGCACCAGCTACTAAGAAGGAGAAAAATGACTGCATCTGCTGAATCCAGGACAGGTGTGTTATCACCATTTTACAGAAGAGCAATGCAGGCTCTAAGATCAATTGAAAGCACTATGACTATTTTGGATGCCCAAACTGTGACCAACACTTTCAGGATAGAAAGTATTACATTTCAAAAAACCACAACTATGGACTGCTGTCACAGCTGTGAGTGCTCAGCATTCCTGAAAATGAATAACCAAAGTATCAAATCAGGCACTCCGAAAATAGGTCATATACATAGTTAGTGAGCAATTCTGAAAAGCTGAATGTGCATCACCCCAAAATTCTAATGTATAGACAGCAATATCATTAAATACTGCATTGTAGTATTTAACAGTTTAAACAGTATGTGCTTTCTCTTTCTGCAATTACCTGTTTTATTCACTGTATTCTCAGCTAAGGAGAAGATCTGACAGACAAGCTTGCTTCACTAGACAACACTGATTTACTCCCTACAAAATTCTGCAAAAGTTGGTGCAAAGGCTCCTATAGAAAAATACCACATGATAGCGTAATTAAAAACAGTACCATAAGTTAAAAACAAACAACCAAACAACCAAATTTGGGTTTATTTATTAAGTAGTACAGACAACCGTAAGACTCACACTCCAAACTTCTTAGTGTTTGTCTCGGAAATAAGTTACATGTGTGAAAAACAAAAAGCATAATTTGGATTCCTATTACGTGTCACATAGAAGACAACCATGGGGGGACTATACTGCTGTACACATTAATTTGCTGACAAAAGAAGGTGACACAGGACTTGGAAATCCCTAGTTCCATTCAAGAGTCCAAAATGGGAGAATGTTCTCTAGTAGACACACACAATTTCTTTCCATCTTAGAACCATCTTTTCCAATTCTACCTATCCAAGAAGATATTATTAGCTGCTCATGCTTTATCTTCATTTTGGACAGCCCTAAGTCTTAAAGTTTCTAATCCTAAACTCCTTCCCTACTAATACAGGACTCCTAAAACCGTGTTTTCCATCTCAATCTCCTTTTTCTTCCAATCTTTCTCCTGCTTTCAGCATTATTGTTCAAGTTCTAAATATTTTGTATTGTTCAAGTCCTACATAGTCTGTGTGTATTCTGCCCACAAGTTCTAATCACACTTTGTGTTCATAGCTCCAAGTCCTACCCAAAATCTCTGAATTAGTCATCCAACTGCGAAAATCTTTCCAGTCTCTCTACACACTTCATATTAGCTCTCCTTACTGGATGTCTCTGATCCTTCTTCACTCCTTCCCCTCACTTCATTAATTTGCAGTCTCTGACTTCCCGCATTGCCCCAGCTTTCCCTGGTGCCACATCTACACTCTGTTTTTCAATTTACTAACTTCCAGTCTCACTGTTTCATACTTACAGCCTCTTAGGGCAACCAAACTTCCTTGCTGCAAATTCCTGTCTACCTGTGTCCTGGGTTCAGTCCAGGACAATCCAATATCCCTATTCTTCACTTGTCTCCTGGCTCTTTAACTTCACTTCACCTACCTATTTCACTAGAATTGCCTGGCAAAATCTTGGCGCAGATTTTCCTGGATGGCATGCTAAGGCACATGAAAATCAACAAGGTGCTTGGTGACAGCCAGCATGGCTTCACTAAGGGGAAATCCTGCCTGACCAATTTGGTGGCCTTCTGTGATGGGGCTACAGAACTGATGGACAGGGGTAGAGCAGTTGATGTCATCTACCTGGACTTGTGTAAAGCGTTCGACACTGTCCCACACGACATCCTTGTCTCTAAATTGGAGAGACATCAATTTGATGGATGGACCACTCGGTGGATAAAGAACTGGCTGGATGGCCACACACAAAGAGTTGTGGTCAATGGCTCAATGTCCACCTGGAGACCAGTAACGAGTGGTGTCCCTCAGGGATGGGTGTTGGGACCAGTCCTGTTCAACATCTTTGTCGCTGACATGGACAGTGGGATTGAGTGTGCCCTCAGCAAGTTTGCCGATGACATCAAGCTGTGTGGTTCGGCTGATACGCTGGAGGGAAGGAATGCCATCCAGAGGGACCTTGACACGCTTGTGAGGTGGGCTGATGCCAACCTCATGAAGTTTAACCATGCCAGGTGCAAGGTCCTACACCTGGGTCAGAGCAATCCCAGGTGCAGCTACAGGTTGGGCAGAAAAGAGATTCAGAGCAGCCCTGAGGAGAAGGACTTGGGGGTGCTGGTCGATGAGAAAATGAACATGGGCGAGCTTCAGTGTGTGCCTGCAGCCCAGAAAGCCAACTGTATCCTGGGCTGCATCAAAAGGAGCGTGACCAGCAGGTCAAAGGACGTGATCCTGCCCCTCTACTCTGCTCTTGTGAGACCTCACCTGAAGTATTGTGTGCAGTTCTGGTGTCCTCAACATAAAAAGGATATGGAACTGTTGGAACAAGTCCAGAGAAGGGCCATGAGGATGATCAGGGGACTGGAGCACCTCCTGTATGAAGACAGGCTGAGGAAGTTGGGGCTGTTCAGCCTGGAGAAGAGAAGGCTGTGTGGAGACCTCATAGCAGCCATCCAGTATCTGAAGGGGGTCTATAGGGATGCTGGGGATGGACTCTTCATTAGAGACTGTAGTGATAGGACAAGGGGTAACGCGTTAAAACTTAAACGGGAAGTTTAGATTGGATATAAGGAGGAAATTCTTTCCTGTTAGGGTGGTGAGGCACTGGAATGGGTTGCCCAGGGAGGTTGTGAATGCTCCATCCCTGGCAGTGTTCAAGGCCAGGTTGGACAAAGCCTTGGGTGTGATGGTTTAGTGTGAGGTGTCCCTGCCCATGGCAGGGGGGTTGGAACTAGATGATCTTAAGGTCCTTTCCAACCCTAACTATTCTATGATTCTATGATTATGCGGCCCTATCCAAATTTTAATCTCCATATCCTCTCCTTACTTATACTGCAGTTGAAACCTCCTCACTTTCTTTTCTCAGTACATTCTCTCCCCACACCTACACTGTAGTTCCACTCCTTCAGCATCTTCCACTGTTACTCCTGTAGTCACAGGATAACTGCATAATACAGTCTCCATTAATTTCAAGATTCTTTGCCTGGACTTGCCTCACAGTAATGAAAAATGCTAACGAATCTAGATTAGAACATGCTTCAGACAGATTATGTGAGACCTCAGGTGATGAAATCCAAAAAGTCTCTATTCAGCTTTAATGAACTGATGTTTTAATTCTTTTTTAGGCTTAAAATACACCCAAACTCAGATGCATGCAATGAGACATAGACTGACATGCCTATCAAACACTACATCCCTACGTTACTGAACCACTATCGGGATAGAAGTATAGGACTTTTAAAACAAAATAATGTGGACAAAACATCCTTGCCTCTAGCCTTCTCAGGACTGGCTTAAACACCTTAACCAAAACACTAAAAAAACCCACAAATAAGTTCACTTTGAGTGGAATGTTCATCCCAAACAAAATATTTAAATTCAAATAACTTGAGTTTGAAATTTGTAATTAACAAAACCCAAGATATTTAATAGCATCAGTCAGCTCTAACATTAGCTGTAATTAGCTATAGCTTAGCTTTGCTTTCCCTTCACAAATTCAGCACTGCATTTCAGAAAAATAATGTGAACTACATGTACAGAAAATAATAAAAGACTTTTAACACAATACCATTGTTATTTCGGAAGTAAGAACATATTCCCTGGCATTACAGGAATGATAATTCATGTATCCACCTCCTTTACTCCCATAATATAAAAAACATGCAACATACAATATCAGACATATACTAAAAATGATGTTTTCTTGATTCCATTATCATTATCTTATGGTGCTGAGAGGTGCTACCACCTCCTTAGTGGATCATAAATCAAAATGATATGCCCATATACCAACATGCATCTTTCACTGACAAAATGCATTGTCACTGAAGCTTACTTGCAAGAGCTTGGTTACATAATTTCAAAATGCAAAATTCTTCCAATAATAAAAGAAAACTAATGCTTTGCCTTTGGAATGTGAAAACTGGCAAAAATGTATTTATTTGCACTCACCAATTTTTTCATCCAGAAGTGTAATTTTCCCTTGAGCAACTTGCAGTTCATATTTTTTCTTAACAAGGCTTTGCTGAGCCTCTGAAAGACTCTGTTCTGTCTTTTCATTTGATAAACTGGAAAAGCAGAAGCATTAAACAGGAGAATTCAGACATTTACATATTAATATTTTTTCCATTCTGAAATGTCAATAAACTTGTAAAGGTTAAGAAAAAGCAACATTTTTCTGTATGTTTTAGACTACTTGGGATATTTTATTAATGTTAACCTTAATTTATGCATATTACAGTCTGAATACTCTTATAAAGAATCACAGAAAAGTACAAAGTATTATTTACAACAAGTGTTGAGAACTTCTCAAAAATTATGAAAATAAAAACCCTCACTTGGGACATACATTGGAAGGTCTGACCTATTTCAAGTTATACCCAAGTCATCTGTTTAAATCATGTAGCAATATTAATGATTCTAGCACCCAGTATTACCACCAATTAAAATCCAGCAAAAAAAAAAAAATAAAAATCCTACAACACCCAACTGGTGTTGACTACACCAGTCACTTTTAAGGACACATAGGTTTAAGAGAGTGTTTGCCTAACTAAATTGTATTTCTGGAAATACAAGAGGAAAAAGTCACAGTATCTTCTCTTGCAGTCTGTTCACTCTGTGGCCTAGTTCAGTCTGTGATCTAGTCCCTCATACCTCTCTGCACAAACTTCATACGTGATTGATCTTTCCTTCCAGTCAGTAAATTATCCTTTTTTATCTTGCACTTGTTCAAGATCTGACTTTGATTTATCACTGACTTGTGCTTTAATCCCTAACAGCTTCAACTTAGTCCCAGCTACATGCTTCTGAACATGGTTAGGAACTCCAGTTGAGCAGCAGGCTATGAACTTTATACAAGGCTTCAGTTTTATTTCCTCTCATGAAAAAGCTCCAAGAATAAGAAAAGAATGTTTGAAACTAACTATACATGACACTCATTATTTTATGTGTTTGCTTTCATAAAAAATAATAAAAAATTAGAGAAAAAAAGTCATAATTTACGAAAAAACATCAATCTCTGCAGCTTCTAATAGAAAGCTCCTAACTCTTGGAGTGAATTTTACTTTTTCCCTGAAGATGGTTTTCAGCATATCATAATATCAACAAGCTGAGAACATTTACATATAAATAAGCAACTAGGAAACCAATTTTATTCTAAAAAGAAGGATGGCTCATAAGAACAACTATCATAAATTCCTTTGCCTTTGAGCTATACAACAGTTATGAAAACAAATGAACATAGGCTGACGTTAATCAACAAACTAATGCAATTAAATACACTGACTTACTTAAGTGAAACATATTCAGCTTCCCGTCGACTCAGCTCAGCTTCAGAGTCCAGTGCTTTTCTTGCCAATCTTTTGGTCTCAGTTTCCAGAGAATCAATGGTGTCTTTCATTAGCACCACTTTGGACACCTGTTCTAACCGTTCACTCTCTAACTATAAATGTAATTAAACAGTAAAAGATGGAAAAAGATGATTTATACAGAAATTCTCCCGTTGATTCAAATTCTACTGTTTTTAGCACAAATCTTTTACTGAAGAACAAATATCCAAGTATCTCATTTACTCGGGGCTGACTCCAAGTCTACTGAAGGTAGCTGGCAAAGAGATGAAATATGATTTTCACTTACTTGGAAGGACAATCAATTCCTGGTCTTTCAGATCTCTGGGAAAATTTTCATTCATTAATGTAAATTTTAGGTGGGTAATTATCCCCAAGGGCAAAAATATTTGGTATTGATCAATACTGAAAGTTTTCAGTGCACAATAACTTACAAAGATCATTATTATGAGTGTATGAAGGGAGAAATCCCAGTTTGGGATGACTTTAGGCCTCTACTAAGTTATAGATACAGATATGCATAGAGAAATCACTGTAAAACATTTGCATAAAGCACTGTATCACCAAGTTGCCACCATGAAGCCTTTAGGTCTGTGCCTTGAAAAAAGAACAGGTTCAAAATCGCTCGCACAGACTCCAGGAAAACTACTTTCAAATCTACACTTCAAAGAAAGACGTGTTTATTAAAATGCTCACACTTAACACCACTCAACTGTCCTTTCTAAATTATTTGAAACAGCTCTTTAAAGGTAAAAAATTCTCACCTCATCCCTCTCCTCATTTACTGATTCTTTCAGTACAAATTTCTGTGTTACTATATTCAGAAGCCAGACTTCTAAAGAGCAAGTGAGTAAGCCTCTGGTACATAGTAACTTTTTCAATACTAGTGCCATAAATTTTATATTGATGTATTGCCCTCAAAGGGCACCAAATGAACTGAAGAAATAAGACGACATACCTAAACCAGGACTATTACCAATTTTCACTATATAACATATGTCAAACATGTGATTGAAGCTAATTTGCTACTTGGAGTACCCAGAGCTATTTAAACCTACAGTGCATTCTTCATTGCAGATGCACTCAGTTTAATATTATAATCCTTGGAACTATACTTAATAGCTTTGTAGGATTTAAAAGGCTGAAGAGGAGAATTAACCAGAACTTATAACCAGAAAATCTAGAAGAAAGATACACAACAGAAAACAATATTAACCTATTTAAAAAAAACAAGTTCTATCAAGACTGTAGAGGTATTTAAGATTATATTAATTAATGTTTTGATTTTCTGTTTTGGCACCATACATTAGCAAACAATTGCACACACAAATAATTTAAGCCATATTAAATAGGACTTGCCAGAACAGTACAATTATATTTGGTTTTGGAGCATCAGGCTTTACAGCATGCAATAGATAATACACACTGGAATGAACTCCAAGAGGTCTCTAGTGTAAACTCTTGCTTAAAGCAGGGCCAGCTCTGAGGTCAGGTTGATTCAGGGCTTTGTCCAGTCCAGTCTTGAACATCTTCAAGGTTGGGAACTGCTTGACTGTCCTCATGAGAAAAAGGCTTTTCCTTATCCAGCCTGAACCCTTGTTGTTTCAACTGACGACCATTGTTGCTCTTATCCTTCCACCATGCACTGGTGAAAAGCCCACTTGCGACTTCTCAATTATTACTAGCAGGTTAGGACTTAGATCCTTAAGCCACCTCTAATGCTGGAAACTCCTCTCATATGGAAAGTGTCCCAGTCGCAACTACTGTGGGAGCCCTCCATTAAACTCACTCCATTTTGGCACTGTGTTTCTTGTACAGTGGTGGCAAAACTGGATGTGGTATATTCCAGATGTGGTCTAATGAGTGCTCAATAAATGAGGATAATCATTTCCCTCAAGCTACTGGCTGCATCCTGTTCACACAGCCTAGCACACTCTTGGCTACCTTTGCCACCACAGCATATTGCTGGCTGATATATAGCTTGCTTTCCAGCAGAGCTGCTCCCACATCCATTGGTCCCCAACCTGTATTGGTGCCACTGGGTCTTCCCAAATTCAGAAGCTGGCATTCATCATTGTTGGACTTCAAAGGTTCCTGTTTTCCATTCTTCCTATCTGTCTTGGTCCCTGTGGATGACTGCCCTGCTCTAGAGTGTATCAACAGTTTTCCCTAATGGTGTTATTTGCAAACCTTATGAGCATGCATTCTGTTGCATGCTTCAAGTCACTGATAAAGATGTTTAACAGGACAGGCCTCAGAACCCCTGTGGTGCTCCATGTTAACAGTCTCCAGGCCAAATTAACTTCTACCTCACAAAACTGACCATCCAATCAAGTTTTTTCCCCATCCATCCAGACCTTAACATCCTAACCTGGATAAAGAACACTGTAGGTAACAGTGTCAACAGTCTTGATGAAGAACATCCACTGCTCTCAGCCTATTGTTTCCTGATAGAAAACAATCAGGCTGGTCCTGCAGGATTAACCATGATTATCGTCTGTATTACGTTTATAGTTCCATAAATAATTTTCTCTTACATTTTGAATAGTAGCTTCTAGCTCTTCAATTCTCTGTTCCAAACGAGCCTTTTCATTAAACACAGTCTCTTGGGAAATCTGTATCAAATAACAACAAAACCACATAAAGAACAAGTCTAAACTCACCACAGACATGTAACACAATTAACTCTCAGGACTAGAAGTCTTTACCAACTTTAATTATACTACTAAGTAGTTTTCACTACTGGTTAAAATAACCAGGGTTGGGGAGACTGGAATCAAACCTTTAACTGCTCCCTGAGGCTATCACGTTCTGTAGTCATCCTTCGAAAATCTGACAGTACTGTATCCCTTTCCATCTCCACTTGTCTTAACATAGCTTGAGCTGTCACAGTAGCTTTAGGACTCCCTGGGCACTTGATAACTTCCTGACGAAGTCGGGAAATCTCTTGCTGTGCCTGTTTTTAAAAACAGCAACATAACAGAAATATGGACTAGATAATGTAGTATATTACTGTGGCATAGGGCAGAGCTTCACAGAAACTGTACAATATCAAAGTAATGATTTGTGCGCATATTCTTTGATTCAGAAAAGCATTATCAACTCAGGACAGCACTTACAAACTTGTGTTTATCTGACACATACAAATCACAGAATTTCCATAGCTTTTTTCTACTTTTTTAACAAACGCTTTGCTTTTTTTTTTTAATGTGAAAAAAGACCATTTTTTTCTTGCACATGACTGTGAGTTACTTTAATTAATCATACAAAGATAAATTAAATTACCTGTTCATAAAGATTGACCATTTTGTCTCTCTCAGCTGTTAAAACGTTGAGGTTACCCTGAATTTCTGCTATATGGCGCTCATATTTTTTCTGGGTTGACTTAAGCTCTTCATGTTCTCTCAGTATTTTCAAAACGTCTGGAGCAAAGGTCACTCCCTTAAAATACGACGATATAAGGATAAAGTAGAGAAACAAAACTTGATATGATTTCTTATTATATCTGTTTTGGAAATTTCTATTAAAGATTTAATAAGACTCCAACCTAGTACCTTCTAGATAGTCAAGACTACATATATGTTTCTTAGTATTAGAGACCAGATATACATACCATTTTCTAAAATCCACATTTAGTTTGAGCAGCAACTATCTATCACTAATGGTACTGACAATCATGTTAACAATTACTTAAATTGTAAGCACTTGTGAGGAACCATTTAAAGTGATACACATGCAGGCAGTATAAAGCAGAAGTTCGCATTATTGGCCCGTTCCCACCTTAGGCATCCTTCCCTTTATAATCAATTAGTTTTTCTTCCTGCTAATTATAGCTTTAGTATTTTAGCACAAGATAAACCAACATTCTAAAAATGCATTCCTCCCTTTTCAAAGTGTTTTCCCAAGCTCACCTGGATGGATGAATTTTTTTTTAGGATGCTGCCACAAGTATTGGTTCGCTTAGGACTTGCAAGTGTGCTCCTAAATATCTTCAGCAAATTCTCATTCTCATTTTTATAGTAATCTCTGTCCTCTTCCAGTGTCTTAATAAAGGCATCCAGTTTTGAAGGTGACCTCCCTTGCTTCATTTCAGCTTCTGTTTGTAAAATAACCTGCAAGTGCAAAAAAATGAGAGAATTCATTCACTGAAACAGAACTTTGTTAATGGATGATACTTCAATATAAAATGGATAAACATACTCTTCAAAATAAAGATAAAGCAGATATCTAATTAAAATAAATATCCATTTAATACTTTAAAGTAATTTCTGAATGTCTCTATTTTCTCTTTTTTATTATACTGCAGAATATACCTGAATGTCCTTTTAGAATGGATCTAACAGGACAGAAAAGGACATAAAAGCTGAATGTTAATTAACTTGGAAAATATCTGTTCAAAAATAAGGAGGGCAATTAAGATTTGCACTGGAATATTTAATGAATTTTTAAATATGAAAGACATTAGGCTGCTATGTTTGCTTAAGATCCATGGAAGGTGAATTTCTGAAATGAAAATAAAGCAATGTGCAAATAAGTATAGCTGAAATACAGGAAATCATGTAGGGGCCTAAAACAAATTTTGAGGATGAGTTGGAATTCCCAAGTTCAAGACTGCACACCCAATCCCTCTCTGTTACAATCTATCTGTTGGAAGTACCTGAATCATGGGAGTTTAAGCACCTAGAGAGTACCAAACTCTGCAAATGTATTTTTATTAAGACACATGCAGAAGTATGCCTTCAAATCCCTGAAAAGTTAGAAATTAATCACCTAAATCTGTCAATCGAGCTGTCAAATCCCAAATTTTCTGGCTGAAGGACTGAAATCTTTCCAGGGTAACTGAACAGTAAACTCTACAGAATCAGAGTGTTTTTTTTTGATAGGGGATTCTTTGCAGGATTATGGCATATGCCTCAAGAAATTATTACCTTGAACACATAAAAAAATTCCCCATCCATCTATAGCAAGTGAATGAGTCCACTTAATAAATCCAAATGTTAATTTAAGTTAGATTTACCACTGTAAATGTCAAATATTTTTACAATTTTACAATATTTTTACAATTATGACATTGCATACATATCAAAATGTTACTTCTGTTTTGCAAGTGATTTACAAGGTATTCAAAACAGTTGTATGCGATTTTGTGAAAAAAATTACGAAGAATCTCAAAAGCAGAATCATTACCGGCTAGTTGCAAACCAGAAAGATTCCTATCCAGCTAGAGACAGCAAATTACAAATGATAACGGATATATTTATCTATTCTATAACTTGTAAATTATCAGTGAAAACAAAGTGAAATTCACTCGTACAAGTATTAATTTCACGTGGAAGTGATCTGATTTCATAGTTACATATATAGATACATGCTTAACTCACAGATTTTAGTGTTTTTGCTGAGTGTTCCAGCTTCTTTATTGTCTTCTGCTGGTTCTGAATTTGAATCTACCATAAAAAAAAAAAAATCGAGAGCAAGAGACGCACTGATTTTGTATAATTGTTAGTGCAAATCCAGCATTTTACCTCAACTGTTCTAGTTCAAAAGAGCATTTTTTACATGTTTTTTAGTTTGACTAGCCTGAAAACATACTGTTTAGTAAAAATAAACCTAATCTAGAAGGCAACCAGTTAAAAGTTGCAGTTCAGGATGAGTAGAAACAGTAACAGTTGAATTACTCTCAGGTGAGTGAATGGAAAAAGAAGCATGGGATACTTATTCCCAGGACTGTCTTGCAGGGAAACTGCCAAAACCAGGGACAGTTCATGGGCTAAAGAAATAAGGATGTAGTTACACTAATGGCAAAGAATATGCTTTCTCCCATTTGACCACTACTGCATCACATAATTCAATGTGCACAGAATGCCATTTTCCTGTGAAATCAAAAGCATTTTTCACTGAAATTACATTCTTTCCAACTGCATGATTTTAATCATTGAACTTAAAAAATACCAAAAATGCCAGAACCCACCCACTCTTCCTTCATTCCAGCAAATATATTTCAACACAGAGATGAAAGCTAGAAATTCAGCCCAAAAGGTAAACAAAACAGAACAGTTCCCTATAATATTAGCAACAAACATTAAAATATCATTGCACAATATTAATTCTAACAAGTATCCACCTTTGCTTCCTTAAGCTCCTTATCAGAAGTATTCAATAGCAATTCTTTTTCCAGCTGCTCAGACAGTTTGCCAATTACAGCCAGTTCTTTACACAGGTGATCATTTTTACAGGTGAACCTATCCACTTGACTTCCCACCGCTTGCTTTGTATCGAGAAGTTGTAGGACACGTTGCCTTAGCTCATAGTTTATCTTCTTCAGATCTTCAATCTATGAGGACAAGGAGGAAGAAAGAATTTTAATTAATCTTCAAGGATTTGCAAGGACTATTTCATACGTAATTTACACTTAAAAAAAAATCAGTATATATTATTCACAAATGAAGAATATGCACACTACTAGCACCATTTTGAACAGATTAATCTGGAAGTGTATGGACAATGCAGAATCTGATCTTTAATGCTTATGCTAAAATTATTTCAAGCTTGCCTGCCACTGCAGTTATTCTCCCACAGCACTGTGAGAGGAAATGTCTCTCCAGGCCAGGTCTAAAGTTTCCAACACCTACTCACTATGGTTCTGTTAGGTCCTAGGAATGCCCTTCAATCCTCCTACTTGAGTTGTGCTGGTATGCTTTCCATAAGCTTCAGAAAGGCCATCAGAAATGTATCAAATCAATTATTAATGCAAATTCATTGATTAATCAAGATAAGATTAGTCATTTCCCTGAAACAATGTTGGTTTTTAGGAAACTATTACATGGCCTTTTTGTAAGGAACCAGAAGTTGCCAACAATTTTGGCACCATCAACTTGCTGTAACACCTCAGTCTGCAGGAGTGTTACTGCCTCCTGCAGCGTTTCAATGTTCTGAGACCTCAGATTTCTAAAATCCCAACCTGACTGAGACAGGGATACAGTGCCATACAGAAACTCCACTGCTTCCACAGGTTGATCCTGTAATGCATGAGAAATCAATATAGCGGAATACTGAATTCTGTGAGGTTCACTTTGATTCTAATAGTCAGAGAGTTTTTCTCAAGTACTACTAGCATTGCACAGAAGTACATTCTGAATTATCTAGGAAGTCCTGAAAGAAGCTTTGTGACAGAAAGCTTTCTGGATGGGCTCTGTCCTGTGACATTCTGCAGTAGTTATTTTTGCCACTTCTTCTATTCAATGCATATACAAATATATCAGGAAAGTCAATGAAAAAATTACGAATTTATTTTCATTGTCATTTTGGTTTTACGTTTCATCAAGCCCGATCCAGCTAATGCTATTGAATTAATAAGAAAGCACAGTTATAACCCAAAAAAACATAATTATGGAGTGGTTGCGTGGAAAAGTAGTTTAAAACAAACAAGCAAAAACACACACCACAGAAACCACCCACAAAATGCTCTAGAGACAGCATCTGTACATCCATGGTTTGTGATTCCTACACTTCTATGAAGTTATAAAATCTGGGGAGAATACCATCTTGATATTACTGAAGAAAGTTCTCAAGGATACCTGTTTTACAAAGTGGGAAGAGAAGCACTAATGAAGGACAGGGAGGGTAAATCCCACTCTGAACCTGAATGTACAAACATTACTTAAAATGACAAAATTGAAGCCCCAGTCACATCTATACCCTCAAGTAACTGACTACACCAAAAGTGGGTTTGTTCCTCCACACAGCCAACCTGTATCATACCTTAAGGGTCTTTTCCCTTATTCTATGATTTCCCCACCCCCAATCTTCTCTTACACTTCCCTAGTCCTTCCAGAAAAGGAGATCAGAGTAATCTGCAAGCTATCAGTATCTTCACTGCCTCACTGAGCAATGAGGACTCAAATTTCCAGACAGTATTTGCTCACTCACAATACTAATTTTACTCAACTTGTGAAAGAGCACTTTTTGAAAAATAATATGATCATTTGCATATCATTTATTTATATATCCTAAAAGAACCATTATTTATGCTTGCCACAGAGCAATTGACATTTAACTACCACTGCTGGCACCTTCTATCACCATCCTCTGAACTGTAATAATGCAGTCCCCTTGCGACAGGGGTAGAACCTCACACTCAGACCTCACTAAGACTCATAGAATTACAGAATGGTTTAGGTTGGAAGGGACTTTAAGATCATCTAGTTCCAACCCCCTGCCACGGGCAGGGACACCAGGTTGCTCCAAGGCAGGTCCGGCCTGGACTTGAACACTGTCAGGGATGGACAGATGTTCAGATGTTCTTTCCTCCTTGTTCTCCACAGCGTACACAGCGACATCACCTGCCGCTCCCGCAGCCCCCTTCCCGCCGGTCACTACCTTACGACGACTCTCCGCTCTCCCCCTCCGGAGCCCCGGGGAGCGCCGGGCACTCATGGCCGCTGCCGGCGGCAACCTGAGGCACCCGCCGTCGCGCCCGCTCTCCCGCCCTGCTCAATGGGAGACGCCACGCCACAACGGCTGCCTCCCTCCGCGTTCCCCGGGCGCCTGGCAACAGCCTCAGCCTCCCAACCGCCCCCCTCAGCCCGCCGAGAGGGAACGGGGAGCCACAGCCCCGCGTAGCCCCTTGCCCTGGTCCGCAGCCCTGAGCTCCTTCTCGCCTCCCCGCGGTGAGGCGAAGCTCTCCAGGGTGGGAGCACAGCGAAGGCGGGAGGTGGTTCTTCCAGAGTCGAGTGAAAGCCCTAGCTAGGCTGGATGGCTGTCAAGAGCTGTAGAAACCCTGACTCCAGCTCTCCCCCCTGAAGAAAAAGTTATCCCTAACCATTACGGTTTAGAATCATTGACCGGTTAGGGTTGGAAAGGACCTTAAGATCATCTAGTTCCAACTCCCCTGCCATGGGCAGGGACACCTCACACTCCACCAACCTTTGAAAGAGGCAGCTTTAGGTAGTCCCAAAGTCAAGCTGAGAAACCAGAGATAAATGTCCTCTGTTCCGTTAGCCATTAGCACGGATTTTATATTCTGGAAACAGTGCCGGCTGAGTGACAGGTCACTTTTGCAAGCTGCCACTATTAAGCACTCATGGATAGAGCTCACCTTTTGGGGGGTTAGGAGTGCCCAGTACCTCTGAAGTATGATCCCCAACCACAGATAGAGAAGAAATTGGAAAATTTTAACTTCCAGGAAAAAAGCAAGAGAAACAAGACTTTTTATCTTCCTCTCCCCATCCTGGATTTCTTACAAGTCACTTCCTGATTTTGGTATAGCGGGAATCATCAGAGAAGACTCTGCATTATCATGCTGATCTCCAAAAAAGATGTGAGAAAAACATTTCAGGTTTTCATAACTTTACCAAAATTATTCTACATGAAAATTCATTTTAGGGGATTGTTTTTGTTCTGATATGTCTACAGTTTTCTCTGACTGACTGACTGACTCTGGTGTGTTCTCTCTTATATGTTAATGCTGGTTAAGGTTGTGCTGAGCAGTTGCTTTGCTTTCTGTGCACCAAACAAAGCTTTGTTGATTAAAGAAAGTCAGTCATACACGGAATTGTTTTCAAAAGCAAAACCAATAATTGCTGTATTCTGCAGATATGTAATTTATAAGATGGTAGCCAAGACTAAGAAATCTAAAAATTCCAATCCAGAAGAGATAAATCACAGTTTGTATTTATAAATTCATACTTCTCACTTATTTTCATAATATTTCTAATTATCTTGCTGGGTTTGTTTCCAAAAAGAGCCACTTTTCAGTAAAGGTATTTATTGTTGCTTGTGGAGTTTATCCTTCAGCACAGAAAACAGACCCATGGCATTTTTACCTGACCACCTAGTACTCTCCCCACGTTACATTTTTTAGCAGATTCTGGTTCTAATTAAGGGAACCCAGTTTTGAACTACAAAACCAGGGAGGGTAACAGCTCGCAGTGTGCTTTTAGTGACACCCCATGGCAAAATGACATATTGCAAATTTCCAAGAGTCAAGTGCCAAAATGTAAACTAATGCTTCAACATCTTGTTTTTAGTTAACTGCAGAAGCCCCACAAGGTGCATTTCACTTCCTCTGACCAGTTAAAGCGCCCAGGCTAACCTCTGCATTTTGCCAACTGCCTCAAACGTTGATTTTTTAATATTTAGAACACTCAGCACATTTTTCTGGACGAAGTTCACATGTTTTTTTTACCCTATGCATTACAGAATAATTAGCCCCAGTGAAGTTTCACCAGTCTAATTTAGCAACAAATTGTGCCCATTTCAAACTGCTTAAAATAATTCCCAACTTTTTTTTTTTCTTTTAAAGTGGCAATACAACGTGCCAAATGCTTGGGCACACATCACATCAGGATGCTTTTAGTCTTGTACCTCCCACTAGTCACCACCAGCACACGTGCAGTGATTTCTTACTTTTTGCTTGCCCTACTACACCCACATTTCTTTTAAGAGTTTGGTAAGAATATTCCTGCTCCTAATGATATAGTTCTTCAGTAGGAAATAACAGCAAGCTCACATCTTTAAAAGTCTTTCACCCTTATCCATTTTCTTTTCTTCTTTGCCCTTTAGGGAAGACAGCTGTTCTAGTTCTGTTTATTTGATTAGAAGGTAAAAGGCAATTCAGGCCACATCATAAATAGGTTTCTTTATTGATAAAGCAGATATATGAACACCCACTTACACACCCAAAGCCAAATTGCTTCCTCAAGTAATTTCACGGTTTCATCTGAATAAGGACATCAACTTGGCATTTCTTCCTAAGCCACCTATTTATAGAACACAAAGTGTACTTACTTACCTGTTCAAAAGAAATAACCTACATGAATTCTCACAACCCACTGTACCAACCTTTTTCTCTACAATTCCTTAATGTCTTGGGACTCCAGTATAAAGGCAGAATGGAAGATAAATGTATGCATCATACCATTTATAAATACACATACACCCAGCAGGAGACATACAGCACACACCTGCCCATATGGATACTACTGTGGATAAAAACTTAAGCACTAGAATCAAACAAGATCTGACAGCATAAACTTAAACACTGACAATAGCTCTTGAAGAAGTTATAGCCATGGTCCAGTAGACTTGAAGAATGGCTTAAATCAATGCAAATCTGAAGACAATCTGCTGCGTGTAATACACCTTTAGTTATCTAGTTTTGGATCAATTTCAGCTCATTAATGAATTATGATACCGACACGTAACTTGTGTATCTTCATGAATACTGCAGTTTCTATGTATTTCACAAACCTTTGTGCATTTATGGTAACTTTTTCAGTCTCCTTTTGAACTCATGAAAGCTTCTAGCATCCAGAACATCTTGCGATGAGGAAACGCACGGCTGGGTCTTGCACGACTAATCATCTGTTCTATTTGTTTTGCATCTGCCTGTTGCTGGCATGATCCGATACTTCGCAGTTACCGTGTTGGCAGAGGCAGTAACAATCAACACCTACCATTTTATAAGCGCTTACCACAGGAGGTTCGGTTTGGGTTTTTATCAGGCTGAAAAGCTTTAAGTCACTTGGCAGCACACTGCACAGCAGCTCACCATCCTCACTTCTCAACCTCCTCCAGCCATACCACGTCCAGGCCTCGGCATGGAAGCGCCGCCCGCTCCCCCCCGCTGGCACCCCTGCACCATCAGCGGGATGATGGATTTGCCTTCCCGGTTTCCCGCCGGGCGGCAGCAGTACCGCCCCCAGCACCTCTAACCTCGGGAACCGGAAGAGACTGCTGCCGGTGCCGACGTTGCCCTGCTAGTCCTAACTGTGAGTAGCGACTCGCGGCCCGCAGGGTCGGCCGTTTAACGGAGAGGGGAGGAAGGTGGCGGGCCAGAGTTGCATCGCCTTGGTGCAGCCCCATGGTGGGGTGGGGCTGCTGCCGCACGGTGAGGGGTGGCCGCTGAGGGAACGCCCGAGCCAAGAACGAAATGGCGCCCGGCTCCGGTACCTCCGCGGGCCTTGTCTCGCCTCTCGGTTGGGCGCTGCAGGCACCGTGGCAGCAAGCTCTACGCCCGGCTGACCCTTCACTGGCCCAACGAGTTCGTGAACTTGGTGCACCAGTTTTGTTTCGTTTTGTTTTGTTTTTTAATCATAACAAAAGTGGACTGCTGAAATTAAGTTAAGCAAAATACACAAAGTAAAATTGTACTAGTGAGGGGAAAATACACAGCTTAATTCCATTTCTTCTCTTGGTCTTTTAGGCATTAAGGGCAGCGAGGAGAAGCTACTGACAACCCCCACTTTTATGTTAAGCACATGTCAGGGTTTGAACCACATCACTAGCTTCAGGAGAATCATGCCTTGTAACTCTCATCACTTCAGGAGCATTGCTGCTTTGGGAAGAGCATGCCTGCATCATGACTCCCACTAGCGTTTCATTTCAGTCACAACAGCAGATTGTGCACTTGCCACGTTCAGCATTACCAGATTGAGCATTGCTTCCATCTACTGTCCAGTTATTAAGAACATGGTGCTCCAGTCATCATTAAAGAACTGCCTTCAGCTATCCTGCATCCTCCAGGCTCCAAAAGCTGGCTTCAGAAGCACGGCGAGTGGAGGCCTCATTATGCAGTCTACTTCTAATGATGTTTACCAGAATCTGGCTGTGGAAGACTGGATCCACGACCACATGAATTTAGAGAACCAACAGATCCTTTTCCTTTGGAGAAATTCCCCTGCTGTGGTAATAGGGAGACATCAGAATCCCTGGCAGGAATGCAACCTCAGGCTATTGAGGCAAAAAAATATAAAACTAGCCAGGAGAAGAAGCGGAGGAGGGACAGTGTACCATGACTTAGGCAATATCAATTTGACTTTCTTTACAACGAGGAAAAAACACGAACGAATGGAAAACCTGAAACTAGTTGTGAAGGCCCTGAAAGCCTTGCGCCCACAGTTAGATGTACATATCACTGACAGATACGATATCTTGCTAGACAGGCAATACAAAATCTCAGGTACTGCTGCAAAACTGGGAAGGACAGCTGCTTATCACCACTGTACCTTACTCTGTAACACAGATAAGTTTGTTTTATCTTCTGTGCTAAAAAGTCCTTATAAAGGGCTAAAAAGCAATGCTACTCCTAGTGTGCCTGCAGCAGTGAAAAATCTCTTTGAAGAGGATTCTGGTTTAACTTCTGAGCTGCTTCTGGATGCCATAGCTGAAGAATATGCAACGCAGCACCAAATTGATTGTCATATCAACTTAATAAATCCAGCTGATGAGACTGTGCTTCCTGGAATTAATAATAAAGCTAAAGAACTACAAACCTGGGAATGGGTGTATGGAAAGACACCGAAGTTCAATGTTAGCACTCATTTTAACATAGCCTATAAAGATTCTGTTCTCGATGTTAAAGTAGATATGGATGTAAAGCATGGAAGGATTGAAGTCTGTAACATTGATCTGCCAGAGCAATGGTTGCCACCAGCACTGTGCAGTGAGCTGGTGAAGAACCTCACCGGCAGTAAGTTTTGCCCAAATGAAACCACTGTGATAGTGACAACATTACTAAGAGCGTGTCCACAAGATGGTGACTTGCAGAGCAGA